TCTACATCCATTGAAAAGATATGATTTTTTAGATTTAAAATCAATTAGTTAACAGTGTATTATTAGTTTCAGAGGTAGAGTTTATTGTTTTGTCACCTGCATATAACTCCCAGTGTTTGGCGCCCCTGGGTGACACAGTTGATTAAGCATCCAACTCTTGATTTTGGCTCAGGTCATGATCTCAGGGTAATGAGATTGAGCCCTGTCTTGGGCTTTGTGCCCAGCATGGCGTCTGCTAAAGTTTCTCTCTCTCCCCTCTTCTTCTGCCCCTCCTTGCACTTTCTCTCAAATAAATAACTCTTTAAAAATAGCACCCAGGGCTTATTATATCAAGTGTCCTCCTTAATGCCCATCACCCAGTTACCCCATGAAAAGATGATATAGTTTTTACTTTTTCTCCTGTTAATGTGATTTATCATGTTGATTTATTTGCAAATATTGTAGCATCATTGTATGCCAGGAATAAATCCTACCTGATGGCGGTGAATAATTTTTTTGAAGTATTTATGGATTTGTTTTGCTAGTATTTTGTTGAGGATTTTTGGTGTATGTATATCCAAGATACTGGCATGTAGATTTCTTTTAAATGTGTCTTTTAAAATTTCTTTATCTAAGTTCCACTAAGTTAATATACACTGTAATACTATCTTTAGGTGTCCAATTTTAGTGATTCAGCACTTCCATACAACTTCCAGTGCTCATCATAACAAATGCATTCTTTAATCCCCATCACCTATTTAACCCATCTCCTCATCCCTCCCATCTGGTAACTATCAGTTTGTTGTCTATAATTAAGAATCTGTTTCTTTGTTTGCCTCTCTTTTTTCTGCTACGCTCATTTATTTTATATGAGTGGAATAAAACTTGTCATAAAACTCTCTAGTTCCGGGATCCCTGGGTGGCGCAGCGGTTTGGCGCCTGCCTTTGGCCCAGGGCGCGATTCTGGAGACTCGGGATCAAATCCCACGTCGGGCTCTCGGTGCATGGAGCCTGCTTCTCCCTCTGCCTGTGTCTCTGCCTCTCTCTCTCTCTCTCTCTCTCTCTCTCTCTGTGTGACTATCATAAAATAAAAAAAAATTTAAAACAAAAAACTCTCTAGTTCCAACATGTCATTGCAAATGGCAAGATCTCATTCTTTTTATGGCTAATAGTCCTATATTTTATATAATACATATATATACATATATATACATATATATATAATACATATATATATATATACACATTTTCTTTTTTTAAAAGTGTTTCCTCATTAAATATTTATTAGTCACAAAGTGGAAAATTTTACAGTTCCAAATCCTGGCAGACATTTCCTTGACAAAGTAATTAATGTGAACATCATCATAATGGGCCAGATTGATATTGTACACATTGGTATGCTGATAAATGTTTAACAACTGGCTGGAACGGCACAGGCAGTGGAGGGGGGGCACTACTGATTTGTAATATTTGCTGATTTCTGTAGTGTAAAAACTCCCCTGATAACTCATCTGCCTAGCTAGCTCAGTTGGTAGAGCATGCTACTCTTGATCTCAGAATTGTGAGTCTGAGCTCCACATGTTACTTAGAGCCTACACACACAAAAAAAAAATTATAAAAAAGCTCCCACAAAGACCAATTTCAAACCACCGTTGGTTTAACAACAGGCTGAAATTTTTACAATTGTCTGTTTTTTGCTGGTGCATACTACCTTCAGCAGACCCTGAGCCATGTGGCTCCTGATGTGAGGCACTGAGAAGGACAAAACACCACTCCTGAGGCATTCCCCTTGAAAATGTATAACCTGGAATCTCTTCACAAGGCAACACTACATGATGGACCTGAAATGAGAGATACTCTACCAAATAATTGGTCTATACTCTTCAAAAATGTCTAGGTCACAAAAGACAAGGAAAGACTGAGGAACTGTTCCAGAGTAAAAGAAACAAGAGAGAGTGTAACTAAATGTAACATGTGATCCTGGGTTGGGTTTTGGGGCCAGATAAGAAATATGCCTGTAAGGGCCAGGGCCAGATGGTAGTATCTTATCAATGTTAATTTCCTGATTTGGATGGTTACACAGAAGAACAGCACTGTCTTTAGTAAATGTACACTAGTATGTTTAGGAGTAATGGGGCATAATGGCTGCATCTTAAGTTTTGAATGGTTAAAAAAATAAGATCTATCATGCAGACTTTGAAAGAGATACAGATATATATAAAAGGATCATACAGCAAGTCATAAAATGTCAATAATTGGAGAACCTAGACAAAGAGTCTAACATTAGAGTACTTTATACTATTGCAACTTTTATGAAGGTTTTACACTATTTCAGATCTTAAGAAAAATGTTCCATGGCTTTCCCTAAGACTGGATCCCAAATTCTCACCTGCTGGGAAACAGGATGATTTGCATCTCCAACAGCATTCTCTTGGTTTGAATTTTGAAAAGTCTCCCTCCCCTTCTCTGGGAGCTGTGCCAGCTAAAGAAAAAAAAAGCTCCAGGACCCAGGAGGATGGTGCTTGACCAGGGCATTCATCATGGACCAGATAATGGAAACTGATAAGATAAGCCAGGCAAGTCAGGGACTCTTAGTGTCTCTAGCTGTTAGATTTTTCCAGATCAGACAATTCACCTGACAAAGAGGGAAAAAATATTTAACCTTACTCTAAGAAATAAATAAATATAGACTACATAATTCAAATTACAAAATATGTTTTAACAGGAGGCTTTGCTTCAGTTTCCTTTAAATAAATAGCAAGTCCCCAGGTGCAGCATGATTTCATTTACAAAAATTCAACAAACACACAAGTTTTTCCAAAAAACATATGTCAGGGTACCTTTTGGGAAGTCCTACAGGAGAAATAAGTGAAATCAGTTTTAACAACTCTACTCCTGGCAGAAATATTACTTACTTCCAAGGTGGCTATAGCCTGTTTCCCAGATCTTAATAACTTAGTGTCTGGTTCTATTGATGTTTTTAGTTCTCTGCTAGGACTCAGCCTATTGAACCTGGCATGCAGACAAGACTAGTTAGTAGCTGGTTTAATTTGCCAAATCATAGATCACATCAAGTCCAGACCAGAGCCCTTACACTCCTGGGAGATGCCTGTAGTCATGACAACTTGCTACAGAAGTCCATTCTGCTCAGTTCCATTTTTACCACTTATTAAATGTAAATTGACTGAGTTGGTACCTATATACTATCTACTGGGGTTGGTTAAGGCAATAAATCGAAGACTGCCAGAATTAGGAGCTTAAAGGTCATCTTGTTCTATCTGGGTACCAGCCTGTGGTTGAGAGCCTCTAATCAGCAAGACTTTTTCCAGTGTCATAAACCAAATAGTGATAAACTACTAATGGAGAGAGGATTGGCTGCTGCCTTTGAGCTCAAGTGCAGGTGATGGGTGATGGATTAGAAGACATTTGAATCTGCCGGGGACTTCTAACAAATTCTTTGATCCTCCTTCACTTCCTTTAGTCAAGTGAAGACAGGGCTGGCTTCTTGCCTTCCTTCTGAAAACCGGGCCAGGAGCCAGAATTTGATCACGTGAGGTCTTTTCTTTGGGGAAAACCCTGCTCCGTTCTCTCCTGCTTCAGCAACCAGCTCAATACATACAGGTTATATCCATTTGTTCAACATATCTTTCATTGAGTACTGACTAGGTTTGGGGCATGGAGCAAGATTCTGGGTTCACAATCATCAATACCTGCCCACAGGGAACATACAGTCTGGCAGGAGGGAAGACTATAAACACAGAAATAAATATGTAATTACAAATTATGATAAGAGTCATGAAGGAAAAAAAGCAAGGTGCCATGAGAGATATTAACAGGTTAGGGGTCTAGGAAACTTTTCTGAGACAGGGACATTAAAGGTGAAGCCTGAAGGGTGAATAGGAATCAGTTAGACAAAAGTGAAAAGAAGGTGAAGCCTGAAGGGTGAATAGGAATCAGTTAGACAAAAGTGAAAAGAAAGACTATCCTAGACAGTAAGACTCTGATGCAGCATAGAGTTTGAGATATATGAGGAACAAAGGACCAGTGTGGCCAGAATCTGGTGCACTAGGGAAGCCTAGGGTGGGATGCTGCTGGGAGGGATCCAGGTTAAAGAGGATGCTATATGCCCTGTTGAAAATTTTGAGTTTTTTAAGTGCACTGAGTAGTAAGCAATGGAGTAAACTGATTTAATTTAATTTTTAAAAAGTCATCACTGTGAAAAATGAAATTAAGAAGGCAAAGAGAAGAAAGGAGAAATCAATTAAGAGGCTATTATAACTTAGACAAGAAGTGATAGTGGCTTGAACTCAGCCAACAGCAATACAGGTAGAGAGGTGTGGAGGATTCAAGATACATTTTTATGTGGAACAGGGAAGAGAGCAGTATCAAGAATTTTGCTGAAAAATTCTACCTAGAGCAACTAGGAGGAATGGGATGGAGGTGCCACTTACCAAGATGGGAAAGACCAGGAAAAGATTGAAAGGGAAGAGATTGAGAGTTCAGAATTGCACATAGGTTTCTGAGATTCCTGTGAACCAACTAAGTGAATAAACTGGGGATCATCAGGAAATAAATGATACTTAAAAGCAAAGGAATGGATGAAACTACCTAGGAAAAGACTATTGAGTTGAGAGAAAAGTAGAGGAGAGAAGTAGAGATGTGAACAGAAGAGTGAAAAGCAGCAAAACTAAGCCCTGAAGAATTCCAACACAGAGATTTGATAGAGAAGAGCCTCTGGAAAAGGGACCCTGAAAGGAGTGGCCAGAGAGAGAGGAGGAAACCAAGAGAGTTGATGTCCTGAGGTTGAGAGAAAAGAATATTTAAAAAAGATGAGTTTGGTAGACTGTTTAAATGTTTGAGAGGTCAAGCAATGTGGAGGTGATTGATGACCTTCATGAGGTCAGTTTTGATAAAGAAATGGAGGTAGAAACCATACTGAAGTGGGTTCAAGACTGATTGACCAAAGGTAAAAACAGCTTGCAGAGGGAAGCAGAGGAATAGAGTAATAAATGGCTATCTTCTCACTTTGGCCACCTGGGCAGGTTAGCTACAAACTTATCCCCTATCTCCTCCCAGGTTTTCATGGCAGCCTTTTTATCAATATCCAACAAGGTGCTGAACTTGATAGAGTTCACGGCCAGCTGTTTGAGTGTCCTCAGAGCAGCCTCCATTTCCCCAATGCCTATGAAGCCCTTATAGAAATCATAGGGTAAGCCTTTTGCACCAAAGACGGCTGGGTCATCAGAGCTGATCACCATGGTGTACCCAGTGGCCATCAGGACAGCAGCAGGGTGGTTTTGCGAGTCAGACACCAGTTTCAGAACCTGGTTGGAGATGGGACAGGCTTCAGTGGGAATATTCTTTTTCCAGGAGCCAGCCCAGACTGCTGGGTATTTGGTTAAAGCAAATCCATGGCCAATCCGGGTAGAGTTCAGTATTAGAGCATCCAGAAGGTTCCTATCTATGGAAGTACCCAGCCAGTCTGTGATCCGAATAAATGAGTTTGATTCCAATGAACCCAGGATGCTTTTTCACAACATATAAGCCATTTCTCTGTAAGTCCTCACTGACCACTCTTGGTTATGGACGGTCCCATTCAGTTCATACACCACCAGTGTGATCTTGATTGAGCTCTTGGACCCTTCTAAGCCTCAGTTTCTGTGTCTGTAAAGTGCAGGCTTGCTATGCAGCCCAAGTGCTTTGTAAAGGTCAGGGCGAAGAAGGCCCCTGCTCCCAGTGTGATCTGGGTCAGACTATCTGCCTATATTACATCTTATTTATCCATTCATATATCAGTGAACACATGGGCTGCTTCCATATCTGAGCTATTATAAATAATACTGATATAAACATTGGGTGGATATATCCCTTTGGATTAATGTTCTTGTATTCTTTGGGTAAATATCTAGTAGTGCAATTACTGAATCATAAGATAGTTCTATTTTTAACTTTTTGAGGAACCTCCATACTGTTTTCCATAATGCCTGCACCAGTTTGCATTCCCACCAACAGTGCAAGAGTGTTCCTTTTGCTCCACATTCTCACAAGTACCTGTTGTTTCTTGTGTTGTTAATTTTAGCCATTCTTACAGATGTGAGGTGATTTGTGTGTTATCTCACACACAATAGTTTGATTTGCCTTTCCCTGATTATGAGTGATATTGAGCATCTTTTCATGTGTCTGTTGGCCATCTGGATGTCTTCTTTGGAAAAATATCTGTTTATGTCTTCTGCCCATTTTTAATTGGATTATTGTTTTTTGGATGTTGAGTTTTATGTTTTTTATATATTTTGGGTAGTAACCCTTTATCAGATAAGTCATTCGCAAATATTTTCTCTCATTCTCTAGGTTGCTATTTGTTTTGTTGATCATTTCCTTCACTGTGCAGAAGCATTTTATTTTGATGACATCACAATAGTGTATTTTTGCTTTTGTTTCCTTTGCCTAAGTAGACATATCTATTAAGAATTTGCCAAGGGTGATGTAAAAAAGTTACTGCCTGTGTTCTCCTCTAGGATTTAAATGGCTTCATGTCTCACATTTAGGTCTTTAATCCACTTTGAATTAATATTTATGTGTGGTAAGAAAGTGATCCAGTTTCTTTTTTCTTTTTTTTCTTTTTTTTTTTTTTTTTTGTACGTAGCTGCCCAGTTTCCCTGGTATTTGTTGAAGAGACTGTCTTTTCTCATTGGGTAGTCTTGCATACTTTGTCAAAGATTAATTGACCATATAATTGTGGGTTCATTCTGGGTTTTCTATTCTGTTCTGTTGAACTCTGTGTTTTGTTTTGTTTTGCCAGTACCATACAGTTTTGATCACTACAGTTTTCTAATATAGTTTAAGGTTCACTTTGCTTTTTTCTGTTTCTTTATTAAGTAGGCTGCATGCCCACCATGGTGTCCAGTGTGGGGCTTGGACTCACAACCCTGATATCAAGACTTGAGTCAGATGCCACCCAGGTGCCCCTTGCTTTTCTTTTTCTTTTTTTTAAGACTTTTTTTTTAAATTTTTATTTATTTATGAGAGAGAGAGAGAGAGAGAGAGAGGCAGAGACACAAGCAGAGGGAGAAGCAGGCTCCATGCACCGGGAGCCTGACGTGGGATTCGATCCCGGGTCTCCAGGATCACGCCCTGGGCCAAAGGCAGGCGCCAAACCGCTGCGCCACCCAGGGATCCCTGCTTTTCTTTTTCAAGGTTGCTTTGGTTATTCACTGTCTTTTGTAGTTCCATACAAATTTTAAGATTGTTTGTTAGCTCTGTGAAAAACACTGTTGGTATTTTGATAAGAATTGCATTAAATGTGTAGATTGCTTCGGGTAGTATAGACATTTTAGCAATATTTGTTCTTCCAATCCATGAGCATGGAACGTCTTTCCATTCCTTTGTGTCATCTTCAATTTCCTTCATTTGTGTTTTATATTTTTCAGAGTACAGATCTTTCACCTCTTTGGTTAGGTTTATTCCTAGGTCTCTTATTGTTTTGGTGCAATTGTAAATGGGATTGATCTCTTATTTCTTTTTCTGCTGCTTCATTATTGCTGTATAGAAATGCAGTGAATTTCTGTATGCTGATTTTGTATCCTGTGACTCTACTGAATTTGTGCATCTGTTCTAGCAATTTTTTGGTGGAGTTTTTTTGGGACTCCATATAGAGTATCATGTCATCTGCAAATAGTGAAAGTTTGACTTCTTCCTTGCTGATTTGGATGCCATTTATTTCTTTTTGTTGTTTGATTGGTGTGACTAGGACTTCTAGTGCTATGTTGAACAACAGTGGTGAGCGTGGACATCCTTGTTGTGTTCCCAACCATAGAGGAAAACCTCTCAGTTGTTCCCCATTGAGGAGGATATTAGTTGTGGGGTTTTTTTGGTATATGGCCTTGATTATGTTGAGGTTATCTTCCCTCTAAACCTACTTTGTTGAGGGTTTTTATCATGAATGGATGTTGTACTTTGTCAAGAGCTTTTTCTTTCTCTCTTTTTTTAAAGATTTTATTAAAAAAGATTTTATTTATTTATTCATGAGAGAAACACACACAGAGAGAGAAGCAGATACATAGACAGAGGGAGAAGCAGGCTCCATGCAGGGAGCCCTATGTGGGACTCAATCCTGGGACTCTGGGATCACGCCCTGAGCTGAAGGCAGACTCTCAACCACTGAGCCACCCAGGCGTCCCAGTCGAAAGCTATTTCTACATCTATTGAGAGGATCGTATGGTTCTTATCCTTTCTTTAGAAATGTGGTATATCACATTGATATATTTGCAAGTATTGAACCACTCTTGCAGCCCAGGAATAAATCCCACTTGATCATGGTGAATGATTCTTTTAATGTACTATTGGATTCATTTTGCCAGTATTTTATTGAGAATATTGTGGCTTTATTTTAAATCTGGTTTTGGTATTAGGGTAATGCTGGACTTGTAAAATAAATTTGGAAGCTTTCCCTCCTCTTATATTTTTTGGAATAGTTTGAGAAGAATAGATATTAACTCTTCTTAAAATGTTTAGTAAAATTCACCTGTGAAGCTATCTGCCCTCGGCCTTTTAAGAGTTTTTTGATTAATGATTCAATTTCATTGCTAGTAGTTTGTCTGTTTCTACCTGATTCAGTTTGGGGATGTTTTATGTTTCTATGAATTTATTTCTTTTATATTGTCCAATATGCTGGCATACAATTTTTCACAACTTTCTCTTATAATTGTTTATATTTCTGTGATGTCAGTTGTTATTTGTCTTCTTCTATTTCTAATGTTATGTATTTGAATCCTCTCTTCTTTTTGATGAATCTAGTTAAAGGTTTATCAATTTTGTTGATTTTTTTTCAGAGAACCAGCTCCTGGCTTCATCAATCTATTGTATTATTTTTTCATTCACTATTTCATTTATTTCTTACCTAATCTTTATTATATAGGTCCTATGCTGGCTTTGGGCTTTGTTTGATCTTCTTTTTCTTTTTTTTTCTTTTTTTATTACTTTTTATTTTTTTATAAATTAATTTTTATTGGTGTTCAATTTACCGACATACAGAATAACACCCAGTGCTCATTCCGTCAAGTGTCCCCCTTAGTGCCCGTCACCCATTCACCCCCACCCCCCGCCCTCCTCCCCTTCCACCACCCCTAGTTCATTTCCCAGAGTCAGAAGTCTTTCATGTTCTGTCTCCCTTTCTGATATTTCCCATCTTCTTTTTCTAACTTCTTTAGGAAAAAGGTTAAGTTGTTTATTTGAAAATTTTCTGGCTTGCTGAAGTAGGTTTGTATTGCTATAATCTTCCTACTTAGAAGAGCATTTGCTGAATCCCAAAGATTTTGGACTATTTTCTTTTGATTTTCATTTGTCTTCATGTGTTTTTTGATTTCCTATTTGATTTCTTGGTTGTTCCATTTATTGTTTAGTAGCATGTTATTTAACCTCTATATGTTTGTGACCTTTTCAGATTTTTTCTTGTGGTTGATTTATAGTTTTGTAGCCTGATGGTCAGAAAAGATACATATTATGATTTCAAATTTTGTGAATTTGTTGAGACTTATTTTGTGGCCTAATAAATTATCTACTCTGGAGAATGTTCCATGTATGCTTGGAAAGAGTGTATATTCCACTGTTTTGGTTTGAATGTTCTGAATATATCTGTTAGATCCACTGGTTCAATGTGTCATTCAAAGTCACTGTTTCTGCCATCAGGGAAATACAAATCAAAACCACAATGAGATACCACCTCACACCAGTGAGAACGGGGAAAATTAACAAGGCAGGAAACCATAAATGTTGGAGAGGATGCAGAGAAAAGGGAACCCTCTTACACTGTTGGTGGGAATGTGAACTGGTGCAGCCACTCTGGAAAACTGTGTGGAGGTTCCTCAAAGAGTTAAAAGTAGACATGCCCTATGACCCAGCAATTGCACTGCTGGGGATTTACCCCAAAATCATACAGATGCAATGAAACGCCGGGACACCTGCACCCCGATGTTTATAGCAGCAATGTCCACCATAGCCAAACTGTGGAAGGAGCCTCGGTGTCCATCGAAAGATGAATGGATAAAGAAGATGTGGTTTATGTATACAATGGAATATTACTCAGCCATTAGTAATGACAAATACCCACCATTTGCTTCAACATGGATGGAACTGGAGGGTATTATGCTGAGTGAAATAAGTCAATCGGAGAACATTATATGTTCTCATTCATTTGGGGAATATATATAATATATATTGGGGAATATATAATAGTGAAAGGGAATATAAGGGAAGGGAGAAGAAATGGGTAGGAAATATCAGAAAGGGAGACAGAACATGAAGACTCCTAACTCTGAGAAATGAACTAGGGGTGGTGGAAGGGGAGGAGGGCGGGGTTGGGGGTGAATGGGTGACGGGCACTGAGGGGGGCACTTGATGGGATGAGCACTGGGTGTTATTCTGTATGTTGGCAAATTGAACACCAATAAAAAATAAATTTATTATTTTAAATAAATAAATAATAAATGCAACTGAAAAAAAAAACAAAGTCACTGTTTCCTTGTTGGTTTTCTGATTCAATGATCTATCCATTGAACTAAGTAGAGTAGTAAAGTCCACTACTATTATTGTTTACTATGG